CGACAGATATATATATATATATATATATATATAAGAAAATAAATTCTTAAACTTTCCGCTTTAATAATCGTGCCGAGAAGGTGCGTTCTTCTTTCCCACGCCGGTTTCCGTTCGATTTAACGAAAACGCGACTTTCGCAGCAGAGACGCTCCTATGAAAGCCCAGAATGCTTATCTAAGAAATTAAGCTACGAAGTGGCGATACAATCTGGATAAATCATTTCTTCATTTTTTTCTCTCTCATACGTTTCTTTTTTTTTTTTCACACTCATACGCTTCTTATTTCTTCCTTCAATCCTCTTCTATCTCACTACAAAGTCAGATCGCCTCGTGTATGTATAAATTCAGCGCAGCAGGACTGGACGATACTTCACGCAATCAACGCGAGTCTCTTAGATATACGAGATACTTCAACACCGTGTCTTGCATCTCAATTTTCAAAAATACGCATGCACTTCGTGTATCGCATTTACGAAAGCGGTCTTGCGTGATCCGCGCGATACTTGAGTATCGCCTGTCAAGATCTCGTCATTTGCATTCGAGATATTCGTTTCTTTTTCGCCTCGTCCAGCCCTGGCGCCAATAGGTAACGATTTGCTCTTAAACGCACCTCGTCTCTCTCGTTCGTCGAGAATTCGTTCGATCGATTCGATTCGGGCAAGTGTTACGCATCGTCGTCGTCCTGGTTCCTAGAAATATCTAGAATTATCAATACGTATACATCACGCTCGCACGTTGGTCGTTATTCGGAAAAGTGAATTAGATCGTAGATCAAGCCGCTGGAATTTTTCGTTACGGTAACACAGAAGCGACTCGTCGACTGAAATTAGAAAATCGCTGAAATTGTTCCTTTAAAATAGCATTCGCGAATCCTGAATTAAAATTTGACACGAATCAGGAGAGATGTGGGATTCAACCGACTGAGATTTTCGGTTAAATGGAAAAACGAGTCGCCAACGTATAAAACTGATAAACCTCATAACAATTAAGTTAAAACGAATCTATTATTTTGTTAAAAGAACATTTTCCATTTTTCCACTCTTTACGATCATCCCAGTCAACTTTAGCTAAAAAATAAATGACCCGAAGTATCGTACGGTAAATATCACTGTAACAAAATGAAAAGCGGAAGAAAATATAAGACTGTCGAGAAATTGCATGAAATGCTCGTTCGAACGACATCCTCATCTCGTGACGATTCAAGGATTCGTTTGTACGTTTTACATTTTTTTTTTATCGAAGATTACAATGCTAGAGCTCGCGTAAGACATTCCTTGCGCCGCAATATCGGACACCTAACGTAATCAAAATAATTACATTAACTTTTATGCTAGCCACACCAAGTAATGAAAATAAAGTTTCGCCAATATCGATATACATCTTCAGAATCATTAGGCGTAGTTAAGCGTAATCTATTCATTCTCCAATTCATGACTTGTATCATCGATCTCACTCGAACTTCCTATGGCAGCAGGATGGGAATCTGAAGATGCCTTTCTTCACACAACTGTTGTCCATCCGATGAACTCCCGATAAATATACCTTTTGCTTGAAAGCTTTGTAACCCTCGGGCAGATAGTTGTCGAAATCGCCGTTACTTATTGCCTTCCTTCATAAACATCTCGATACGTATGGTCTCGAAATTCTTCGGATTGAGGACGTACATACAATTGATTTATCTTCGACGATTTTGAATGGACCAATTGTATATATAGCGATAGAATGACGAGTCATTTAAATCATCGAATTCTAATCTGCCGCCGAACTCGGACACCGGACGCTTTGTAGCAACCTAAGTACCTTACCGTTCTATTAGCCAATTCACCAGCTTTGGATGAGTAATGGACCTGCAAAACATCGAATTGCTAGCAAATTGGAGCCAAGTTGAACGGACTTAGGTGTACTAAGTCCTGCGACTCTCGAATGATATCTCTCTTTGGCTTTTTCGTCTTTTTATGTTTCTTCGTTCGAGATTTGGCTTCCCATTCTCTTCGTTCGTAACAACTTGCCGTTCTCCAGAGTTTTATTAATGACCTTCGAAATATCGTTGCTTCTGTTGTCTTTACAATTTCCTCGACACCAACCCGACGATTTAATCAGATTGATCGTCGATTTCTTTCGCCGGTTCTGTTTATGCTTCGTATCTTATCGCGTCCTGCCATTTGATCCATCGTTCGGCATATAATAGCTTACCGTTTCGTAAAGCTTTTTCGATTAGAAGTGTGAGATTGCTCTTGCGAAAGTCATCGCAATTACCTTGACAAGCAGAGGAAATCAGTTTAATCGTTGATTTCTTTCGTAGATTCTTTCGTAGATTCAATCGTGATTTCAATCGTAGATTCTTTTGAGCCTGCGTCGTTTTTTGAAATTCTGGATATTCGATTGTCGAAGAAACATTATGATTTGATGACAATTCTTCGGTTTTCTTAATGAACTGCGCGTTACCGACGACGGACACGTTTGAGAAAATATATGGATACGGCAAGTAAAAATTATAGCTCGGAAGTCGTGTCGTATTATTTGCCGGCTCCATCGATCTTATCCGATCGTTGTGCACAGTATTCCGCAATTGATATGAGTATCCTTGACCGCTTCGCATCGTCAACATCAGCCACAAACATATTCCGACAAGATTTATGTAGGAACGAACGAATCTCGATGTCATTTTTAAGAGATATCGATTTCTTCTCCTTAGAAAAGGAACGACGCACTTCGACTTTTTTATTCAATGTTTATACTATTCTCGATTAAGAAAACGCTATTCTTATTCTTCATTTATATTTTTCACTCAGATGGTACACTTTCTTGCAATTACATGGTAATCTTGTTAAACTGTCTTACATTCCGTAACGATACTTCGCGTACGATTCTGTAGATAACAAACAACTGAACTCGCAAAGGATTTGAGTTTTCCTTCCAAGGTGAGAAGATATGCGGGAGTTATTTGGAGAAAAAAAAAAAAAAAAACTGCCGAACGCAAAAAAGTCAGAATATTCAAAAAAGATAGAGAAGCATCGAGGTTTACACATCAGAATTCAAAATTAAACCGGTTTATAATAGTTTAAATTGGTAATTCTATTTCCTTCGTAATAATCGTATAAATAAGAAGGATTAATAATTCTCCTATAAGTCATCAATATTGTCTAAGATAAATAATATAAATGGCAGACCTCTAACTCGCTGTATTAATGCGAGAATAAATTTTCGTGGCACTTGAAATATTTTGTTGGAAACAATAGAAAGGATCAGAAGACACACTTGGGTATTTATAACAATTTAGATATATGTACTATTACCTTTACCGTTAGACAAGGCAAATTTATTTTCATTTGGTCCAAGAGATCTAAAAGAAGTAAAAAAAAAAAAAAAAAAATACAACATGAATTAAATATGTTAAATATATATATATTAAAAAATTTTTGTTCATGCATAAACCTTGCATTTTTTTAAAAACATCTACGTTTGTTATTAAAGAAAATATACATAACAATAGGGTAAACATACTCATTGTGCTAAACTTTCGTAAGCAAACTCGCATTAAATGTACATAATCTGAGTGAATTGTACAGCGCATTAATTTATCAGAAAATACATATCAATGTATTATTCTTGATGTATGTATTTATCAATTTTAGATAAACATTGTCACTGAAAAACCGTAACCAATTTTGGGCATTCCTGCCGATATATGCTATCGTAATCGTCCATAACAAATATCGTAAAACATGACATATATACATGTATGGATATATACGCGTGTTGTGTGTGTGTGTGTGTATTTGTTTGTATATGTGTGTATATTTACGTGTTTGTGTGAATATAGAATATTCGAGTGGACTCCTTCCATTATAGCGGGCTAGTGAAGTTAACACACATACATAATATATTATGTATAATGTATATTATATCTAATAAAGATCTGGCGTATACTGTAGTACGACTGTAATAGTTTTGCCTTAATAAGCAATAAAAATATGTAAAAGACTGAGCTCTGTTTTAGCGCGCGGTACATATATACATATATATATATATAATATATAAATATCACACACACACACTCTCTCTCTCTCTCTCTCGTATTTCTTTTTGTTTCTTACTACGAATCGACTAAACTCGGATTATAATCACCCTGGATATATCTTGTACGCCAATTGCGGTGCATATGCGCGCGATGTAAGTGGGTCGAGGCGAAGCTTCGTGTATCTCATTCGTCCCTTGCGCGTGACTCCTCTCTTCGATCACAACATACTGTGATAGGATATCTTTAATATATCCACTATGATATTTATACTGTCGCGCGAGCGAGTCGCCCTTTCAATTTCGCATCCCCTTTACACATATTTCATACATTGTCGTCCTGTAGTCGATTGCGCAACAATTAAAAAAATCCATTGACCGTTTCGATGGGAAAAAAGTTGATATCGTTGTGCCTGAGTCTTCATTCTTCTAACTGTTGTCTGCGCTTTGGAGCGCAAAGATCATATGCCTTTTTCTTTTCGTACGCGTCACTGCTCGTTCATGGAAAATCTGAACAATAGATTTAACTTTCACATACCATATGCGACGAAGGAACGAATCGATCAATCGATCAATCAATCAATCAATCAATCAATCGATCGATCGATCGACAACGACAACGATGACAACGACGACGACGATGACGACGACGACGATAATAATGATGATAATGATGATGATGATGATGATGATGACGACGATGATGACGATAGCACATGAAGGATATCCTCGCGTGTTCTCTCATAAACGAATGGATGGAGGATGCAAAGATTTAGGACATCGAGGAACAGGGTAGGCGGGGCGAGCCCATCTGCGTGAGTACCCTGTCGAGCCACTGCAGCGGCCCATTTAAATGCAGCTCGATCCAGCAGGGAGTCGAGGTGACCGTCTGCCGGCGGTATTCCGCACCCCAGCCCTTCACGAAGCTCATCCGGATCGTGCACATACGGGTCAGCTGATACACCGCTTCGAAACCCTGTGACACTGACTGCGACAGCAATGCCGCGAATTCCTGGTTGTTGAAGATCTTCAGATTGCATCCTGCATGTCAACAAAATAAATTGACACCAATTCTGAGAACGATGAAAGATTTTTTCAAATAGTAATTGTTTTATGCAGATAAGAGACGTTAATTTTTCATTGGAACGAAGTTATTAAATAAATTATCGGCTAATGGGTAGAACAGTTTCATTAAAAATGGATTTCATTGAAAGATGCACAAGAAAAATTTTGAAGAGTTCCGATAAATTACTAATTACAAAGCAGAATCAAGAAATATGCGTGGAGAATAACGAAAAGAAATATGGAAATCCAAACAGGCTGGTACTTTATTAATTTTCAACAATTTTTATGATAGAAAATATCATAACGCTTATAACAAAAAATCTAAAGCAAAGAACTTGGATAATTTTGTAATTAAATAACTTAAAAATAATAATAATTTACCTGGCGGTATTTTGCAAACGGTGGCCGGATGCCAGCCGTAACGTTGATTGCAGTTGGGACTCTGCACAAAGATACTCGAATCGGATAGACATTCGGCGAACACTTCACCGCCAATGTAATATAGCCTCACGCCTTTGCCGATGTGTCGCCTAGTCTGCTCGACTACCGTGTTGCGATTCACATTGGACAGCAAACCGAGGCAGAAACGCTCCGAGTTGCTCGGATCGGTAAAACCGTCCACAGTTATACTCGGCTGTGACGCGTGAAACGTCTCGCCCACTCTCGTATTTAGCTCGTAGTAACTAATTGAACACCTGGTAAGCAAAGCGGAAGCATTTGTGAATGGCGCGACGAAGAGGATCAAAAAAGAAAAGAGAAAAACCTCGCGTATCGCGTATCGCGCTTACGCAAATTAATTCCTCGGTTTAATTTCCGCTTCTTAATATTCTCAAGTGTCGATCTCTATCCGATTATCTCGCGTTGATATATATAATCCGATTCGAAGGGGGAATTCTCATTCTATAACTTCGTCACTATCTCGACCGGTCGGTTTCGGAGAAACTAGGATTGAAATCGTCTCTCGAATAATGTATGTCTGCGAGGATGCGATATACACCGTACGCGTCATCCATTAAGCAGCCCGGCACTCACCAAAACGCGGGTTCGCAATACATAACCGGCTGCGCGTCCACGGGGCTAGGCGACAGGCGTGACAGGGACATGTTATCGTTGTGGTCCATATTGTCGCCGTCCTCGCTGATGTAGCCCGGCGGCGGCGTATCTGCCGGCGGATCCATGGATCCCGGAGCGGGATGAGGTGAACCCTGCACGCTTCCGAGGCTCCCGACGCTCGCCGGACTCGTTGCCTGCATGCTCTAAACATAAATAATCCGTGGCGTCACATTTCTGAATCTGATAACGCGTTCTCTTATTACATAGCATATGTAGGATATAACGATCTAGTCCGTACGGAAATCACGACGTTATGGGACTGCACCGATTAATTGGAAATTACAACGACACGTTTACATATATTTACATGTTTTGTGACAAATAATATTAATTATTCAATATTCGTATATAATAAAATAATTATATATACACTATATATATTTATAAATGACCTATATTCATGTAAATAATATTCATGATTATATTCATAAGATATAATAGATAATTAATAATAAAAGTGACAAAGTTAAATGTTTTCATAAGAAAATAAATTAACATCGGGCAGGCCAATTTGATGAACATGATCCATTTCAATCACCGACCTGCATTCCTTGGTATGGATTATTTGGTTGTTGCTGCTGTTGTTGTTGCTGCTGCTGCTGCTGCTGCTGCTGCGGGGACTGCGGAATGCCCTGCTGCTGATTATGCTGGTGATTCAGAGTCGCGTGGAAATTCGTGTTCTCCGGCACGCTGACGCTGAGCTCCTCCAGGGAGGTGTTGTAGAGGACGGTATTCTCGTCGCTGGCTAGGTTGTGCCGCGGCACGAGAATGGCCGGCAAAACTGCAAAGTTTCGTGCGCTGCGATATAGTCACGCGATCTAGTCTCGCTATGCTTACGGTCGTAACGGCCGATTAACAGCCCTCTCCCGAGAAAGAGGAACGGAAATAAAGGAAGAATGAGAGAGAGAGAGGGAGAAAAAGAAGGAGCGTAATTCGAGCAAAACAGATAGACATACCGACAATCACCCTTTCTCCTTCACGGAGAGGGAAACAATATCAATTTTATTTTTTCGCTATATATAAATAATTCGTCCCTTCAAATAAGTAAACTTATCGTTATTCTGTGAAGTTTAAATATAATAAAATAAAAATTTGATCATAATCAAGTCTCGTTAATGGATTTAAAAAAGGCCAATTCCGTTAATATTTGATTTATATGCTCGTTATAACGTTACCAATAATTTTAATGTGTGGCATTCGCGTACCTGGCGTTTGTATTCGTTGATAATGATAAGGGTTCACGCAGACCTCGTCGCGCTTCTGGGTGAAGGCGTACTCGCAGTGCTCGATCGCCCTCAGCTCGTGGTGCGACTGCAGATCCGGCCAGCGCCAGAGTCGGCAGTAAATCACGTGTGGCAGACCCTTGCCACGTACACCCTGAACGCCGTTGTCGCCGACACCGCCCGGGCTAGGCCTGCAAAAGCGCAAGGAAAAATCACGTTACTTCCAGAACTGCGAATCGCAGAACGAAACGAGATTCGAGGAAGGAACGAGTCGCGACTTTTTCTCGAACGTATGATCGTATATTATATTAAAGTATAAATTCATTTCCTCCCGTGAGCACCAAAAGGATATACCTTCAAGTGGAATTTATCAAATTCAGAGAATTTCTATTTCGATTTAATTAAATTTATATTATATATTTATTATATCGATATTTTTATTTCTCCTTTTTAATAATATGCGCGTATACGTGCGCAAGTTGATTTATCGGAATTTCACGAATGCATAATTAAAGTTGAAATCCTCTCCATGAATTACGTGTATATTCGTGAGATTTCGCCACTCTGTCAAATCCGGCTCGGTCTGCATCGCGTCGTGTAGCAGGCCGGAAATGGCGGGTGTCCGCGAGGAAAAAGAATCCGAATGGAATTCGCTGCGTAAACCCTTTCCGCGAGGAAATTTCACGAATATGGCGCGTCGTTCTGTTCTTCTGTGCCGCGCGGAACGAGTGCGTAAAATAAAAGATGAAGATACAGTCACGCACAATTGATTGTAACAATCCGTAAATGGCTTGCCGATATCGTATTCGTACTTGAATCGACTTTATTACGGTTACAACGTTGAATATGTCAATATCTTGGAATTACGCGATAATCAACGACGTACTGTAATTCAGAGGGATGATGAAGAAAAGGATCGTCAGACCCTTATAGAAAAACACGCGTCGTTCCCAGGAAATAAATATCTCGATAAAATAAAAAATTCAATGACGCGGAAAGAATACTTTTATTGGCAAATTAAAAAATTTAGCCAGATACAGATCTAAAAATAATTTTGTTGAGTCTTCAAATTATTATTAATTAAAATTAATTTGACGTTCGAATTGATTGTCAAAAGCTCAAAAATTTGTGCAGTATTGTTATCATGTTATTTAAGCGTTCTATATAAAAATTTTCATGGTCCAAAATCATTTTCAAATCTATGTCTAGCCAAATTTTTCAATTTAATTATGCATTCGTAAAATTTCGATAAACTCGAATTTTTACGAATTTTTAGATTTGCCAGCGAAACTATTCTCTTCGTGTAATACTTTATGTACACTTCGTGTAATAATTTATCTAACAAGAAACGCTATTACTTACTTACAGGAAAATAAGAATTATGTGAACTGTCGATAAACTGCAGTCAACGTTGATAACCGCGGACAACGTTAACGAAGCGGCTATCCCAGTTCTGGGAGAGCGTCGATATTTCGATTGGTGGAGGAATTAAAATCCAACATTCGTGCGAGGTTAATGGGAATAACTTCGCGATAGGCATCGGTAAAAAACGATAACGTATTACATATACGCAAGTGAAAAGAATTATGTGCGAGGAGATCCTTGAAGTGATGTAAATGACGGTAATGACAGGCTACCCGAGAGCGAAGACCGCGTTTGCGGAACGGATAATCGCGGCGCTTCTCCGCACCGGCGTAGAATTAAACGGTATTTAATTGCAAAATTCTCGCGCGCGCGTTCGCTCGCGATTTCGCTCGCGTAATCTCGTCGCGCGCGACTAAATTGCAACAACAGAGTAACAAAGCTCGCTTGGAAAGAGTCTATCGCTGCCCGTAATTAAGTACAAGCGATGCAATTAAGGCTTCCGTATCCGTGTGACGTAGCCACGATTTATCGTGGGGTACCTTAAAGACAGCACTGCGAAACTCATTATTTCCAACCGCGCAAATCGTCGATGCTCATCGACTCGTTTTTCAATTTTCTATAAATTATTAAAAATAAAAAAAAAACCTAGCAAGTTATATAAAATCCATGTGTGTATTATCCTTCGCTCGACGAAGCTACGCAGGCCGTTTAATGTCTAATTTAATCCGAAATCTTAGCAAGCGCAACATTTACCTCTCTGAAATAATCTTCTGGTTCGCGTATCTTTCCAACTTTCCCAGCGAAAAAAAGAAGAGTCGGAGATATGGCAGAAACAGCCGAAAATTAGATGAAATGTATAAATAATGTATAAACCAGACGTATAAATCCTGTATCACTCCGTATAAGATCGCCTGCGATGGAAACGAGAAGGCCGAGCTCGAACTTACAAAATTTACGATGAGATTAGATGTGTAACGTTTCTGTCGATGCATAATGCAAGACGTACGTCACTTAGCCTTGAATTCTTTTCTTTTCTTTTCTTTTTTTTATAAATTCGCATTTTTTCTCCTTTTCTGCGTATATGTATATTGCCTCTCGATTTTTCTCTTTCTCTCTCGTTCGTCCTCATCGCATTTTTTTCACCCCTCCCTCCGCTCCATCTCTCTCTTTCCTCTCTCTCTCTCTCTTGACGTTTCGATTATCGTTTCCATGTGACACTGCACTGCATTACATAATAATTTAGAAACGCTCGCTCGATGTGATTCACGCGATTCGCCCGACCGCTCCTTGTTCGCATTCCGATCTGTCGATTTAATCGTGCGGACAAAGCGCAAAATCGAGCGCGAGATAATTCGACGATGCGGTGGTAGCATCGGAGGTTCCTCGTGACGTCACGCGCGTCAGACGAGGACGGGTGAACGCGGTCGCGCGAAGAAACCACGAGGGCGTCTCTCCATACCTGTGCCTCCTCTCGGTCGGGGTCGTTATGTAAGAACGACGACACACTCGGGACGCGTCGCCGCTCGCTTATTTAGATAATAAATGTCGCCGCGACATGTCGAGAGCGTGTCCTGCTGCGTACCTAATGACGTGTGACAAGACGGTGCGACAGTCGGAACGGAACGGAAAGTTGCATCCCGAGGACTCATGATCATGAGGCTTCATGATCATTCGCGTCAAAAACGATCGACATCACTGCGCGCCCGCGCGCGCGCGCGATCGCGTTAATCCATCGCGATAATTTCCACGCGATGAATGGATATTAAGTTCCTGATTCTGAATGGTCCAATCTGATCAGCGATAGCTTAATGCGACGATCGAGCTCGGCGATTTGAAAAATTTCATTTTGAAAATATGTAAACACGAATGAGAAATTGTACCCCATCGCGACGAGGCAAAGATGTTAGCAGCGTCTTAAGATGCTGCATTTTTACCTCGCTTTGATCGTAATGGCGAGAGATATTCGATAAGTTCGACAGAAAGACAGGATTCTGTCGCATGAGAATTTCTCCGTTTCCTCTTGTCAGATTTCGCTGTGAGTCCCGCGCGGCGGAAAATATTCGCGATATTTCAGGAACGGCTGAACATATGCCTGCACCCCTCCTCTCTCTCTCTCTCTCTCTCTGTCTCTCCCCCTCTTTCTCGGTTAATGGATGAGCCTGCTTGCCTCTCCCGTATCGACGCGAAGAATTAGGCCGAAATCTAATTGGCCGCGTTACCCTGCGGCGACGAAGTAATCGCCTCCGTTAATAACTGTCCCGTCCGCACCCGTCTTGACCTGCGCCTCGACAACGCGAAAAATTTCAGAGAGCCGGTAATTCGAACATTTACCCTCACACTCGATCGTCTACATCTCATCTATGCACGGATAAAATATTTTCGTTCGCGATTTTATAGTCGAACGCACGGCCAAATTTATGCAGTGGCCTTCAAATTCTCCCGACTGTCATATTATTATTCGTCATTATTATTCGTATGAATATTAATGCGAGAGTACTATGGTCACAGACTTAAATGACTTATGTCAGCAGACGTGATGATACTCGGAATCAAAGGCGAAGCGAGTAACTTTTGTCGTTATAACTTTCGAAGATCGTAATGAAACGAATCTCTCCGTTCGCGACAAGCATCTCCCGAAGTTGTATCCACAAACTCTCCGAACTCTCGAATTGCGAGATGTCAATGCTAGCGTTGATCAGAAACGTTACCCGTCGTGAACCGCAGAGACCTTACGTTGTGCCGCGCAATCGCGCAAATCCGGGACGATGAGTTTAATCGTCGACAGAAATACGAGAGGGATTACGCGCGCATTCAAGTACTTCGAAAGAAAAAAAAAAAAAAAAAATACAGGAGAGTAGAAAGAACATCGCGGCACGTGAAGCGCACACTTCGAGTTGCACAAGGCCGATTTATGGCCGCTCTATACCACGGATAGTCGGAATCCTGGATAGTCGAGACGTATTTTCCATTCCCGCCCCTTCTTCTCAAAGAGACAGCTCATAACCCAAATTATTACCGTTCTCGATGCCCCGCATTATCGCTCGTCAATAACGCACGTTCCGTTACTACGTTTTATTTTCACGCGAAACTTCGCCGTGCCAGCCGTCAACGTTCGCCGGCAGGGCGAACTCGGACTCGGATAATTCGAAAATGACGGTTTAAGCGCATTCCTTTAAGCATAATCACGACTGATCCGTCCGACCGGACCGAATCGCCCAAAGCGAGTTCGCGACTGTGTAAACAGCGCTTTGCCCGAGTACTCGCGCTCGAAAAAGAGTTAAGCGGCCTAGCATAAACCCGCTACTTGACTACTAGCCCTGGCTACCGGTTTCCGTGTAAACCGGCCATTATCGCAACAGCTGCGGGCCGCGAGAGAGAAAGAGGAAGGAAGGCAGTGTGGGATACCACCGACTTTCGAGATGCGAACGCGAGCGGGGGGGGGGGGGGCAAAGGGGGACGCGGCCTGCTTCTTCCCTCCTGCGCAGCTCCTTCTGCCGCGTGACTGACCGTCCTCACGTATAATTTCCTTCGGATTTCCACGTATCGTCTTCAACGCTGCACAGATCAATATGTCAGCGAGCGATCCCGGTAGCGAATCCGCGATAAAGTAACATGTTTCTTTTTGAAACGAAAAAAAAAAAAAAAAAAAAAAGTGAATTGCTCTACTAACATTTTAATCCTCAACTGTGAATGCGGAATTTCTAGAATTTCAGTTATTTATTTTGTAATTTTGATCGCATGTTTTCTTCTCCTAACTAGAAAAACAAAATTTACAAACAAAATTCCCGTAACCATTCATATACAAAAATACAAAAAAATGTAGTAG